GACAAGGTTTTGTCATCATCAGGTATGTTAAACTTATATTAAAGTTTTTCTTCATTACCCATTTAAGCCGTCTCCAGCCATTATTAGTCTCAAAGTGGGTTCCTCGTCATCGAATTTGAAATATTAACATTTTTAAACAAAATGTTACGAAGCCACCAGTGAGGATTGAACTCACGACCCCTGGTTTACAAGACCAGTGCTCTAACCACTGAGCTATGGTGGCACATTAATCGTCTTATTCTAACGGTTATAACTGTTATTTATATAAATATAGGTGTTTTCGCTTCTTCTTGGTTTTCTGTCTTTGTTTCACTTTCATCTATCCGACAAAACAACACTTACTCTCAGTATATCAAAATAATAAGTCTTATTACACGTACACCTCATTCTATAGTATCGTTGGTGTTGTAATTGCACTCGAAATACAAGCAACCATGTCATACACACATGTCATAGACACACACACCCCAATGAAAGAATATACCATTCCAAGCTTAACTTGTTGTTAAACAAATGTTTAAACAACTCTAATTATTCAACATGTCATACATGTCTCAGTTGAAAGTTGAAGCATGCTAAAATAAGATAATTATAAGTTAATATACGAATTGGTAATTATTGTCTTCAATAATTTTCTTTTGCCGTTAAACTCACCTTACACATCACATGAAAGTTCCTAATGTTATGTGGAAACAGCAAGCATAATATTTTATTTCGTCTGCAAAATTATTATACAGTATTTTTGTAAAATAATTTACGTTGTTACCATTATGGAAATAAGTTCTGTGTAACACTTTTGTCCAAAATAAATAAAACATAAGTTATAATACTAACTTCCAACAAGTTGAAAGCAGAAGTAGAACAATACGTTTAAAATAATATATTGTCTTGTTATGTACACACTGCACACTGTTTTAGAAATGCCAGCGAAATCCAGAAATGAACTTGTTTTACGAAATGTTACCTTATAATGTATGATTTTTTGGTATTAGCTATGAAGATCAAACACACAATTGAATCTTTACGTTAGAAAAAATCATTAAACATTTTTTTTACCTTTGTAATGAGTTTTATATGAAAATTTTACGTTAAGAAAAAAATTGTTCTCACATTTTTTTTCAACATTTGTAACGAATTTTATATTTGAGTGAGTAGTAAAACTATTCAAGTATTAAAACTTTTTTGTATCAGTTGGAAACAAATGATAGTTAAACTGACTACTCTGCGATTTACATTTGGTAAAATTATCCTTGATTCATCCACGATAAAAAATAACAAAAAACATTATAGTCATTGTTGTTTAAGAGAGGGTTTAGTTGGAGGATTAAAATTCATCAGAAGACTTTTACTGAACTTCATCCACAAGTTTTGAAGCTCATTTAATGAAGTTCCGATCTACTGTTAATAGCGAAGATCAGGTTTGGTCTAAAAAGACTTTCAATTGATTATTTATTTTCTGACGAAGAAATATTTTAAATAGTAACGCTAGATTGGAATACATTTTCAGGTGTGACACTACTATAAAATTTATCACAGAACTAACTCTAAAAATAAACGAAAACCAAACCACACATTACAGCCACCAGTGAGGTTCGAACTCACGACCCCTGGTTTACGAGACCAGTGCTCTAACCACTGAGCTATGGTGGCATCTGACAAAGTGATCTCTACTAGTTATTCATAAAAAGTACACAACCATTTGTTTCTTTGAACTGATTTTATATTTCATATTTTGCATCATATTGTCTTATTATTAATATTATAAGCAAAATGAAGATTTCTAATTTCAAATGAATTGGCTAGGCGATTGTCGGGACAGGGAATAAGGGCTACTTACTTATTAACATAAAATGTTTTACTATTTCAGTATTTGCTTTTGAAGCGTTATCCAAGTTCCTTACGAACAATATGAAGTTTCGAAACAGCTTTTTGTGGGATTAGATTTATTTCTGTTTCGTCTCTAACAGTGAAGCATGATCACGTACTACATTTAATGTACAACCGTAGAAGCACATTCAAATTGCACCTTAAATGTTGTACGAGATCATGCTTCACTGTATATAAATAAATCTATTATCTCAATAAATAACTGTTTCAAAACTTCATATCAAATGTTTTAATTGCTGATTTATAACTGATAACACAACAGAGACGCATGAGCGTCTGCATAATATATTCCAGTTGGGGCAAGTCATCACAGAGCGCAGGCCATTTGCTTTGAAGTTGAAGTTTGAATGCGATGCTCTGGCTGATTATGGTGTGGTTATATAAACCTCATTTCGTCATTTTTATATAAATAGTATTATTTTCTAATATACTTTAAAAATAAATTACTCAAATAAATTTTCCTCTGAAATTCCAGGGTGGGGCAAACGCCCCCTCCCTTTCACTATTCTACAAACGCCCATACAGAGACGTGAATCTTCTTGCTCTAGTCTACTAGTAGTTGTAGACTTATATGAACCTTTAGCAGTTTTAGCCACCTAGATAAGCCTGAACTTCAGTTTCAACTCAATTGGATGCAGAATGCTCAGCCATAGAAAATGTTAATATAATATTTTTGATAAAATACATTGGTAGATTAATAGTGAATAAATCTAAGTAATTAGCCATATAGTAGTATAAACCAGGAGCGTCTAAAGGGTGTCATTCAACTCTATCATAAAAACCTCTATTATTATTAAAAGTAAAATATTACCACAGTGAAACATACCTTTAAACCTGCAGATGTAAGCGGTAATTCAATTTTAAACCTGGTGCATTAAATTCGTATAAGTAAGGCAGTGAAGCTTTTAAACTTCCGGCTTCAGTCTAGAAATATAAATTGTCACCAGTATTGCCACTCCAACGAAAGTTGGCGAAAAGTTTTATTTATAGGTTGATTAGGCCTTATATTTGAGTAATTTGAGTGGTAACACGTCCTCTGCAGGCAAATATATTCTTCGCTAGTTTAGTAAACTTTCATCGAAATACTTCTTATAGTTTAGAGAATTTAACGTTCAGGTTCTGAATAAGTAATTTTAAAAAATGTGCAATGTAGGCTGATGTTCAGTTTGCAAATTACAAATTTGCATTTGTGGAGATATAATATACTAGCAAATTATTATTTTCCAGTGAAATTCTATGTTTTATTCCATGTCTTGAAAAGTTCTAACTGTTTCGTCACTCTCATGTAATTTATTAATTAATTAGAATATGGAAGAAAGATGTATGCCTTGTCTTTAAGATATTATTTCGAACCTTCAGCTTGCAGGTTAATTATAACACACACACATGCTGCACGCACAAAATGCTTTGTTATACTCTATCAGTTCGAGCAAATACAGCCAAACCTCTAAATTCTGAATACAAAACTTATGTACATGTTAATCTTACTAACATACTTTTTACCAGAGAAGTTATTTCCTTATGTGACAAAACTTTTTTCGGCGAATCGTTTTTAGCTTTGTGTACGGCAAAAACTAAGTGCACATGCGCATCAATACATCGTGGATTAACACTAACAATAATATCTCTAATGGTAATAAGAGTAATAGATAGTTTAAAAAAAATATTTGAATCTTCAGTTCGTGATATGTTAATTTATTCCACTAAATAAAATAAATTAGTTTATGTATTAAAAAAGTAAGTTAGAGAAAACGTTTCTAAAATATTAGAAAAAGATAATGTTTTCCCTTTTCTATTACGTTGAAATTTATATAATATTCATAGAACTTAGAAGTACACAACTGTCACAAGTGAAATTACGGTTAACTAAAGCTGAATATTAGAATTTTAACGAAGACTGACTTGGTCTATTATCTATCACGCCAATCCTGCTCAAAGTAAGATGAGAAACGATTATCATTCCAGTTTGCAAAATTTATCTGCGTGTAGTACTAGTAGACATTATTATTTTATTTTTAGAAAGTTTAATATGTTTCACGAAAAAAAAATGCTATTTGCAAAAAAAAAGAAAAAAGGCCTTGAAGGTTGAATATGAGATTTTTTCCATTCAAATTTAAACATAACAAATCTGTAAGTATTACTATTATTAGCGTTTTCCCGCTTTCACTGTTTCTTTATCATATTTGCAGTTTTTGACTAGGTATAAGTTGAAGTTGAAGTGAAGAATGTTGGTGGTGACCATAACCATGAGATTACAAAAGTACATGTTATATTGATTACTACAGCTTTTACTTTTACAACCGTATTTATTGACAAACAAGATATACTGATATTGTGTTAGGACTCTGTAGACTTGTTATAATATAAAATACTTTAATGTATAAAAATAATTTTGTCTTAAACTAACAACCGAACTTGCCATTTCTTATGAAAGAACTTGTCAAAGCAATTCATAAAATGTTAAAATAAATAAATTACAATTACAGCAAAGATTTTTACTGGTGTGGTTGTATTCCACATGATTTGTTTACAACTATGTCTAAAATGGTATAGTTTTTATAGATACATAGCTTTTTCTCTCCTAAAGTTATCATTTAAAAATAACATTTTCAAAAAAATCTAGGGGGGTGGGGTGAGTGCTGGAGAACTTCCTTACCTATGGTAAGAAAACCCCTCATTCAGCCATATGCTGAAACAAATTAATATTTCACAGCAAACAGATAAAATATAATTGGAGAGTAACTAGTGTTTTGTCAATGCAAGTGAGGGATGGTTGAAAGTTAGTAATCATCAACTACCAATGCCATTTCAGGCTATCAGGGATGCTGTATCATTATAGCATTGAGAAAATTAAAAACAAATTACCTTAGTTTATATGCAGAGGAACTATGTGATAGGAGATGGACCTTGATATGCTACTGGCAGAATCAGACTGTTTCTAGATGGTATTTCAGCTCCAGTGCCGTAAATGAAACAAGATTGCAGTGTTAGGTGATTTTTTTGCCAATTCAAATCAGTAAAATACACTTTGAATTATTTATTTTATGTTTATATGTACTAATATTACACAGCTTTACACCTTCTTAATTTTCTTTTAGCATTTTACTGTCTTGAAATCAAATTTTAATCTCCAATGAAGCTTACTCTAGGTTCATTTGCATAGGAACTTTATTGAATGTAAGTGATAAATTTTTTTTCCAATATGCTACGATTATTCCAAGAGTGAAAATGAGAAATTCAGAGAAGTTACTCTTATTGAAAATGATTTTGTTTAATTGTCATCAGAAATTTCTGAAAAGTACTATGATTCGTAAAGATTTCCTAAAGAACTGTTCAAGACATGTAAAATGAAGAAGTGTTAGTAAATTCTATGATTTCAAGTTTGTATTAATTCAAAACATGATATTTTCAAATGAAATAAGCTGCAATTGATGTGATAGTAACAGTCTTCTCTGCTCTCTCGTTAAGTATGTTTGAATGTACGGATACAGATATATTTAAATAGCTTTAAGGCCTTTGTTCACTTTATTTCAGGTGATAGTTTTGAATGCATGTAAATTTGTTTATTTAAAATAGTTCTTTCACATGGTGGATGTTGTTAAAATGTTTTATTAATGCCAAAGAAATGTGGAACTTTAATATTTTGTTGATATATACTAAACGTATGTTAATAATAACTATTGTTGTGCGTTGAAAAGTAAATCTTATATCACACAGAAGAGCTATACTTGTTTGTGTTTTAATCTATTTAGATTATGATCGGACTGGAGAAGATCATATAGAGACAACTCCTCAGACATTGCCTGAGAATGATCCAAAAATCTTGGATGATGGGAATGCAGATAATTAAGTAGAAAAAAAATATTACCAGCCAAAGGTACCTTTTCCTCAACTATAAGGTTTGTATGATAACGTTACAGACATGTACATTAGTACCAGGCCATATGTTGAGGAAAGTGCTAAGATACAGGATTGCTGTAACCTATCTGGGATTTACACTGAATTAACTCATTTTTATAGCTATTATGTAAGGTAAAGTTATTTAATAATATAATGAAAATGCTGTTGTCCTAGCATTAACAGAGTTATAATTAATTTATTCCATATAGAGGATGACAAGACTGTAATAGATAGTGTAGAAATTGTCCCCTCAGCTATTGAAATCTTAGATGAGGATACCATTCAGAGAAGTTGCCAGAACAACAGTGGAAATGATCACCAACATACTGACCAATCAGGGACTTCTGTTTTTAAGGTGAGAGATAATTTTTCCACTTAAAATAAAAGTATAAAGGTTGAGTATATATGAATAAAACTCTGAAACTTTAGTTAGGCTGCATTTAGTAAAGTGAGAATGTTTTTTGTTTATTATTATTGCAAGTTGGATTATGTACAACATAAAATAAATGTAATAAAAACAATGTGTATTTTTGTAAAGAAATAACTAAGGTGAAGGAGATATTGTGCCATAATGTATTTAACAGTCAAGATATCTTCTAGTTTAAGTATAGTCCAGACACATTTTAAGTACATGTTTAATGCCAACTATTTTGTCTGCATTCTGTGAAAAACGATTTTTTTTAGAAATATGGTTGCCTCCTATCCTAGGAAAGAGAGGATAACCAAAAGGCCTTGAACTAATAGCAAATGGGATTCTGAAAAGAGGACCAAGATTGCAGATGTGAAGAAATGCCCCTTTGCTAAACTCCATGCATCTGAGAAACTAAAAGGTAAGTCGATGTTCTAAAAAATAATCTTACTGTTGAAAATGGGTAATACATAGTATAGTACACTGAGATATTGTGTTCTTATAATCAAATTCATGATCACAGTTATATTATTTAGAAACACTATACTTATATATTATTATTTATTCAAATGAATTGTTAAATGCATATCGTGTGTGTAGTCTACTTCTAACTGACAAGAAACTGTCTTCTTAAATATTGTTTTTTTTCCCCATTGCAGCATTCTGTCCTGGCTAGTTGATTATTGTCTGGGAGTAGCACAAGAAGGAAGAAAAGAACTTACAGGGCCAAGCAGAGGCCATGATACAAAAGATCCTTGATGAAAATGTGCACTTATTTATGATAAAACAATACTTGATGATTGCTACATGGACGAAGGTGAAAAAGACCATACTCATCAAGCAAGACTTACACTCTTACACACATGTGAAATATGCTACCAAGATATCTGCTCAAGGCTGTTCATCTTTTCTGATGTATGTCTGGCATGCTACCATATGGACTGTGTGACAGTAAAAAAAACCTCCCAAGAAAAGTGTTTCATAAGAGTTGATTGAATTTGATAGGAGACATTAGATTTTTGTTGACTGATAAAGCCTTGGAAAGAGGTATAGAAAGATGTGTTTTGGCTGTATTATCTATACTTTGCAATTGATGAAAAATATATTCTGAAAGGTTCTTAAATTTTGACTTAGTTTTGAATGACAATAACAAATAATCTGAGAGAGGCATGTGTGTATTAAATTGTAATTGTTGTCAGAAGGTTCTTTGTTTGACCTAGTAGTTATACATTTTTAGTACTAAAATAATTGGTTGCTTAGTCGTAAACTAACATTACGTATGAGTGTACATGTTAATCAAGTCTTGTGACAAAATTTTTGCTTCATATTTCCCTGATTAAGAAAACACTTGGTTGTCTTGAGTGACTATAGCTGATTTGTGAGATTGCTCTGTTTTAAGGTGGCAGTATGTATACGTTTGAATCAGTGTCCAAAACTTTCATAATTTATTTGGATTTGTTTAATCCAATAAAAAAATTAAACAGTTTCTTAGGATTTTAAGCATTTTCCCTAATTTAAAAAACTTGTCACCAAACATGCATTTTCTGTACACTTTTTCTAAAACTGTAGTTGTGTTTTCATCTCATGAAAGTATCATCTTTACTTCAACCTCTAGCTTTCTGGGATTCCTGGCCTATATTTAAATATTACGGGAAGTCCCTTTGTTGTCTGAAATGAAAAGGATGTTTCTGGCACATGTGAATGGTGGATTGATCCAAACGAACGAAGTGTGATGAATATTAACACCTTGGTGAAGAATTAACTTATCTTTTGGTTAGTATTAAAACAGTAATCTCAAGTCACAGTATTTGTTTTTTTGTATGATTTTCTGGATTAATATAATATTTATCCACATTCCAAGAGTGGTATAATTAAAAACTATTATTTGTAATTAGATGTTTGTTTAATGTTATATGCAAATACACATTTACAATTGTGTCTTTCTTTAAAAAATTCACATCTGCAATTGATAAAATGGAATTAAAGTATATTTACATGCTCTCGGAGTGGACAAGATAAACCTGATAAAGACAGACCAGTTAGAAATTTGTGGATGGACCCTGATATGAATGTGTTAAGATATTTGTATGTCCACAGCTGTAAATTGTTAGATTTCATAAAGCTATTTTAAATCTAGTAAATTCTGTTATTTGTTACTGATATCTAATACATAGTATGCATGTATTACTAAATTAAGCTAGTAACATCATCACGAGACAGGATGTTGTCTCCCTTACTAGATGACTTTCTAGTAAGTTACTTTACTTGACTGGAGATTAGAAAAAAAAAATTAAATCTTTTTGCATACAAAAATTAATCTTGGGCTGAAATGAAAAATTCTTTGTAATTTTAATTGGACTTTTTTTCAGTTTTTAGAATAGTGGAAATCATTACTTCTCTTATAAACTAGAATATTTTATATACCTAGAACCACCTCCAAAATTTGGTACTAATGAATATTTCCATTCATTCTGTCTGTATACCATTTCTCAAGATTAAAATTTCCTTCCATTGTGCGGTTCACCCCAAACTAATATATTTGCTTAAATGATTATGTTTATTCTATGCATTTTCTACCTTCTTATTTTAATATAGTATTATTGTAAACTTATCAGTTATTTCTGAGTATGTGCAATTTTCACATAATGTGGTCAAGAATGTCACTGATTTTATTATAGCTGCCTTTTGTTCATTGTTCTTGTATGGAGGTCACACCTATTCTGACCATGAGGTGGTGTGGTTGTAAAGGTTCTGCATCTTGTGCATGATTGTAAACAGTCCTTCAATGCTAGGTCAGTTGGTGTCTTGAGTTTATGGAAACTCCTCTTTGTTTAAATGAAAATGAAGAATTATATGGGTAGCACTGGTTGTTCTGGGTAAATCTGTTGTTACCTATTGAGAATTTGAAATAATCCAAGGCCGTGTTAAATAATTTAACTTTTAATAGTTAAACTGTACCCTGGATTTAGTGTTTAGAAATATGTCAATATTTTATTTAATTTACGCTATTTGCTAACAAGATTGGTTCACGCCATATTTGTTTTTAAACAAATACGTTTTAATATATATACAACAATGTAATTTACAATAGCAACTATTGTGATTAATTATTACAAGCCAAGTGTCACAAACAGAAATTTCACTAACTTACAAATAGCCTAAAACCATCTTTTTAGTTCAGAGTCTCCTTGATATCCAGCGACTTGTACGTACATGTAATTGGTGGGAAGCTAGCTAACTTTGTCAGGCACTGAGAAATTAGTAATATTCTTGGAGAGATATTAACGTTTGATGGGAATTCACTGACGTTCGAAATTTATAACTGTTCGTGGTCAAATGTCGTATATTTTCCAGTTGATAGGCATTAGCAAAATCACAGTTTATAGATTACATGGTTAGAACGATCTCCTAGTAGACTTGTCTCTTCTCTGTTGTCTATAATCCAAAGCAAGTATATAGTGTTTATGTTACGTTATAATAAAGATTGTGTGTTTTTGTATTTGATATTGTGATTTCGTTTTCACAAACTTGGGTATTTAGAGAAACTCGTTGCTACTCTATAATAGATGTCGTATCTCCTGAACCTATCCCATTTCTCTATGGAAAATCAACCTTACCTGTATATACACAAAAGCAAGAAGCCCACCAAGGGTATCAAAACCCAGTTTCTAACGTTGTAAGTCCTCAGACATACTGCTGTGCCACTGGGGGCTATGATAGGTGTTCTAGCATGTATTAAGTTATTTGAAATGTGCTAACATTAAAATAAACGTAAACCATTTGGAACCAAAATAATTACAATCTAAAGAATTAAGTAACTTGATAATTATGTTTCTTACTGTCATACATACTGTTTTAAGATCCTTAATATGAACTGATTTTCAGCTCTTTTTCGAAAAAATAATTAATAATGTTGCAGAACATTAATAGTGTTCTTGGCTAATAAACTTTTAGGCTTAGACATTGCAAAAATATTTCCCATTGCCACAAATTCCAGCTATAGAGATACTTTGCTTCCCAAATAAACGTGTAAAACTTGTGTTTAGAACTTAAAACTATGAACTTCAAACTTCTTATATTTCATGAGTTCGCATATAATTTCCATATCTTAAAAGTTTATGAAATGCACTTTAAAAGTAGTATACATTTTTTAATTTCCAAAGTCATTAAAAATAAATATGAAGTCAAATCTATCATTCATCACTTGCCATTCAGGTTTCAGGGAATTCCACTTGTAAAGAGCAAATCGAAAAACAAGACTAGGAACCTTACAGATTGTGAACTGTGTAGCATATGTATGGTGTTTTTCTTATCTTATCTAGCAGCGTGTTCCTACTCGAAGCATTAAAAAAATCCCTAATAAAACTAGCGTTTTCGACACACTCACCTTGCGTGTCTTTTTAGTATAATTTCCATCAAATTAATTACTGTTGATGACTTTCGAAGCGTTACGTATTTACGTTAAGAATCATAACAAGAACTCCAACTGAAAACATTATACACGTAAAATAATAACATTTATTTTCCATTTTCAAATTAAACCCTGAATACACAGTACCAAGCTCTTCTTGTATCATCCAAAAGGAAGAGAGAAAAACTTTCATAGGTAACAAAATATTTTATTTATTTTAGTAAGTCCAACTGTATACTTGACCATAAATAATATTCAACGTTAAACTGGTACACAATTAAAAACATTTTGTTTAGGCCTATCTATGGCCTTCAAAAAGTTGACAACTCTACATTACAACATGTAGAGTCCTCACCTTTTTGAAGGCCATAGATAGGCCTAAATAAAATGTTTTTAATTGTGTACCAGTTTAACGTTGAATATTATTTATGATTTTAACTTTATACACAAGTGCCAAAATACTATAATTGTATACTTGGCGTTTTCGACTACTTCAAATCGATTTAACGTTTTAGCAGATGTAGTTACGTATTTTTTTAAGACTAACCAGAAAGGTTTTGAAAGTATCATTTTACTGCGTATACTTATACAACGTATTAAATAAAAATTGCTTCACCTCATTAATTAAATCTTGTGTAAGTTTCAAGGAAAATTATTTACACGTGTGCTAAACAAATCACTTAGTTTATGCAGCGAAAACTTTCCATTGCCTGTTCTAGAGCTTTCAAAAACAGTTTTCCTTTCTGGTTTATATTATCACACATTTGCATATCTATTTGTATATTTTATCAACTCATCATTTAACATAATCTGATTACAAGATAAAAAAACAACAAAGAAACTGTCAAGAGTACTCAAAACAAGCAACTTCCACCTGTTCATAAGATATTAAATCAGTCATGGTGAATATATAACATAATTAGTATTATCAAGGGTTGCTGACGTTTAAACTGTATATGAATTTTAGACACTTGATATTTAGTTACAGTGTAGAAATAAGTTTTATGTTATCATCTAAATAATGGCTGCCTTACATAAAACTTCTGTGGTAAAGACTTACATCAATAGAGACAAAATATACATCTTACTTTTAAAAATTAAACTAAAGTTAGTTTTAAAGCTGTAAATCAAATAACCATTTATACATTTCAACCACATACCGAAAACAATATTATCAATTCCCATGCTACAGTGATCATTAAGAATTTTTGCTGTTTTCTTCAACATTAACCATTGCAGTATGATATTTATTTATTTCCATAAAACTTATAAGACATTCTTTTGTTTAACTTACCTCTTTTTACCTTTATGATGATCTCAACTTTGTACAATTTTCGAATTAAAACTGCTTATGACTTGGTGTTCAGTATTGTACAAAAGAGAAAATTACTAGAGTTATCATGCCAAAAAAAAAAAAACTTAACCCATATAATCTAAGAAAAACTTTATTATATGTTCAGTTTTGTTTTATTATACTTTGCTATAGAATTTCAACTTATAAGGTTGCCCTTAGTAACTACACACTTCAGTGCTTGTATTTGGCTGTATTAAAATGTATCGATATATTTTTATGCATTTTAAAAATTAAGTTTTATATAGTAATGTTTCAGCAAAGTACTTCAGTTCAGTTTTAGAAAAATTAAAAATACTAATTAAAACCTTTTTTTCAAATGCATTTGATCTATAAAAAATAAGGCTTTTTTCGAGACCCTAAAATAAATTCAAAAATTTACTAACCACCACAATTCTTTCATACAATCATTAACTGTATAAAAGTTCTGGAAGGTCATTACTTGTAGTTAGTAGGCTTTTGTAGTAAATTTGTTTAACACTCCGGTAAGAAAACATTCTCCCATACTGCACGTTTGGGAAAGGACCTTAAATACTAGTAATGCCCATACGACAATCAAATACGTAAACATCACACATCAAACTTCTATTTAGGATATCTACATGCACACAAACAAATGCACTTACATAGTATAATTTGTTATTAACTGGAAAAGGTATACAAAACAAAGCTTAGACGGTATTTTATTAACCTAAGAAAGCTTTCATCGCAATATACTTATGTACAGTGCCAAAAATGCTACACATTATTCGCGAACATAGGCTATTCTGTGTTTTATGAAGGTCTTTTAGAACACTGCACCAGTACGATTTATAATATCTTTTAAACACCATTACATTATCAGGCCAGAAGTTACGAAATCACTAAAATAGCCTGTTAGATACAAAGTACAAATAGAGAACTACAAAGTATCTAGTCGTCTGAAACAATTCGATATTTGTTTTATCTGTCAAGAAAAGAACTACCCACAAATTATTAACTCCTAGGGGGCGGATCCACACCGATTAAATTTTTAAGAAAGAGATTAAAAAATATTAAATAGAGCAAATATCACAAAAAATTAAAAAAAAAATACAGGAAAGCCAAAGCTATATAAATTGAAGCATTAATTTTTCAATTAGCTATTAATTTCATGTTAATATATTACATGACGTAACCTAACGAGCGATAGTATCAGCGCATATACGAAACTTACGCCCTAATCTATACGTGTGAGATCTTCATATAGAATTATATATATTTTATATAATTTGACCCCACACGCACCCCAAATTTCCTATGTTTCCATGGTGAGCAGCAAGCAACTTCTATTACCAAATGCGCTATGCCACCAACGCAACACAAGACTATATTAAATACATTTAGCGTTTTGCACAATGCCCGGCCCTATTTAAGCAATGCTCCGACAAGCCTTACAAGCATGTAAGCGTTAATAACAGGCCTCACACTACATAAACTTTACACAGACATTCACAACAATAAATTATTTGAATTTGAAATACACCAAGTTCCACTCAACGTATAAGACGTAAGATATCCTTTCAATGATTGGACAGTTTTCTGTGTTCATTCTGGAAGTACAACTTTATGTAAATATGTATGCGCTTATAGTTGCAAATGTTAAATTAGGGCTTTCTGAAATGGGTTTTGATTACTACAAGTACAGGATGAGCCTGTATATGTCGACGTTTGTCGAAGAGGTAATAAGCTATATAAAGCGTCATCTAGCAATTTTTCTCTTAATGCAGATAGCTAAATCTCAGTCTAGGCTTAATCCTTAAGAGTAAGTCGCTGTTCTAATAAACACGATAACATGTAAAATTTATGATGGAGTTAAGAAGAGTTAGAAATTGCTGGATTGCAGGTAGCAAACAATTTAATCCGAAGAATTATGGACGGAAATTGCAAATTCATCAATAAATAAGCCTAATATAGTTGACGACAGCTCCATCTGTTGGGAAAATGTCGAATAAGATATTTTAAAACTAATATGTCTTGGGGTAGCTCTGTTTACAATTCATATAGAATAAATAGATCCAGAGTGGTATTTGTCTTCATGAAGACAAATTGGGACTTTCAGGTAACAAAATTGCAAATTTAAAAGATTTTTTTTAAACAGTTATGGAAATGAGCAAATGCAGTTATTATAAAATACAGCTTTTAAACATATTTCTTCTTTTGTTTTAAGAATTTGCATTTTCTTAGCCCAATAAACACATTTTGATGCTTTTTAATATTAAATGGAGTGAAAGTTGTCTTGAAAAACTGCCAATATCACAGAAAAAAAGTATCATCTACACAGTACCATCTGTATCTATTTGCCATATAAACAAATAACACCACAAAACATTCAGAAAAAAAAAACACCTGACAAAAGAGATATTTCAGTCCCTAACGAGTAAGACAACACAAAATTCCGTTCATACTTAGATAAACATATAAATTTTACACTACAAATGCATGCCATGTATTTTTCAGCATCGAATCCCAATGCTTCGGCTCGCAGAACACGTGCCTTATCATTCGAGCTAAGTATACAAGATTGAACTATATCCAATGGAGAAGGTCAAACCAGATTCGTCAGAAGCAAATTGTGAAACGATCATACAGACAAGTGCGAGTTAGTAACAGATTGAATAAAACAGAACAAAATAAATCAATTTAGACTTTGTGTAAAACAAGATAAGTTTGGCGCCTATGAATCTGATACGAGTCCTCACTTTATAAGAAAGTAAAATCACCGAAAACTTCACCTGAATGGTGTGTCAGCCTGCTGACCTTTTTGGAATGTCTATATTTAAGAAATGAATTTAAAGTATGCATATCGGGTACTGCGTCATCAATCAGTTATATTCTTTTCTTAAGTACATACTACTATTATAAGACAGTATAAAACTTAAAAACTATACTACTTTCTACCTTATTGAATATTATACATGTCTCATTTGATACAAATAACAGACTAATGCGTTTCTATTGAAGTTGATTAAAGTTTATGTGAACATTGACGGTATTGATAAAAAAGCTGGGGAATAAACAATATTGGTGTGTTTAAAAAAAAGCATTTTTAACTATTTTCATTACTTTGAAATGACAATTTGATGTAAAGCATGCGATGAAGCTGCTATTATTGAGAGATAGAATTGTTTGTTTTTAATTATGCACAATGCTACACTAGGGCTATCTGTGCTCTGCCCACCACGGGTATCGAAACCCAGTTTCTAGCGTTGTAAGTCTGCAGCCATACCGCTGTGCCACTAGGGGGCGAGATAGAATTAATAAAACTTAGCATATGAGAAACTAAGTGTTCACATACTAGAAAACAAACTAATTAGACAAGTTTTACAGTATTTTACACATTAATAGAAATTTTTGTTTGTTGTTGAACACAAAGCTAAACGAGGGTTGTTTGTGCTCTGCACACCGCAGGTATCGAAACTCGATTTTAAGCGTTATAAGATACAAGCCCTCAGATTTACTGCCCACCGGAAGGGGGGCTTACAGAAATGAAGACAAATGTTTAGCGGAATGGCCTATTTTTAAAAAAAAACAAATTTAATTCGATCGAAACACCCTGATTTAGATCAAAGTTTCGACACGAGTAGTTTACTTGTTTATTTACAGCGTATTTCGATAAAAGACAAGATATAAGCTGCGGGCTGAGGGAAAACCCTTTTCAAAATAAGTTTGAAATTACTGTGATTATAATTACGTTATCTTTAAAGTTTGTAACTAGGCCTAACATGAAATTTTACTCTTTATAAATGTGAGAAATGTGTATGATGTTTCGTCAGATTCAGAGATTTGTTGTTAAGCACAAAGCTACACAATGAGCTATCTGTGTTTTGCCCACCGCCGGTATCGAAGCCTGAATTTTAGCGTGAAAAGCTCTCAGACTTACTGCTGAGACGCCGGGGGACCAGACTCGGAGAGATATGGCTAAATAATATGGTCTAAGGTAACAAAAATAAAGCTACTCTTTCATTATTTATATCTACATTTTCGTATATCTATTATTTATTGACGTATGGATTCCCTACTGAAGACAAAGTACCAATGTATAATATTTTATATTATATTATATTATCATTAAGTCTACTGTGAGTTGGGAAATAAGTATTGTTTGTTCTATTACTTGTGGTATATTCACCTAGTTTAGAAACGTGAATATATAAGTTTCAATAGAACAATACAACTATTCTTGGCAATATTTAAATACACTCTAGAAAGATCGGACAAGAAGAAAGTGAATCAATTTTTCTGTAGATCAGAGAACACGAAAACAACAAGTGTTAGTTCATAAAAAGTATTAATATATATATATATATATATATATATAACCTTTCACTGATAATACTTAGAAAAAAAGATATATATTTCTTTGTTTTAAAGAGATTAAGCAATTTTAAAGCCACGCAGTCAAATATTTTAACAGTTTGTCTATTTCTAAGCCAATGGAAGGTTAGATAATGTACATGAATACCGAAATAAAGTTAAGAAAGAAATACTATAGTATAAAAAAAGAGGAAGACACTGAAACACATCATTCAGCTGAGTCTAGTAAAAAGTTTTGACACAAGAAGAAGAGTAAATAACTAACAGTATTTGGCTTGCAAACCCGTAGTGAAACTTCACACAGGAAGGTTATGCGAGGAAATCAAAACTGTTGTCCTGACATCGCTTGTTACGTCATTTTGTCTTGATGACGTAAGTTACTCCTGTGTGGATCTGAAACAATATTACGACGCCATCACGTTTCTTCCTCCGCTGAGCAAACCATGTTGTTGTTTAGAAAAGGCGACGTTTCCAGCTGGTCTTCGTTCCCGTTTACTAGAATTAACAAAATAAAACATATTTTAAGCTACGGAAAAAAATGCTATTTTTAGTGGGTAACAACTAACCTGTTTTATGAAACTGTCTCAAAATGCTCCATATACCGGTTGAACAAGATGTATAATGTAAGCAGTTTTAAAGTGCATCAGACTTACTGGGTTGTTGTTTGACGGACTGTGATCACGAAAACAGCGCGTGCATCACTCAGCTGACACGGTGTCAATAACTGATTTAATCGAGCGATATGGGAAATCTGTTAATCAATCATTATCAGGCAGGAGAGATGTGGACAGTGTTGCCTTGGTGCCAAATATACATGGTAATTTATTTTTTGGAAAGTGAGTTAATGAAATGTTATTAAGTTTAAAGGAAGAACTATATAGGTTGTTCAATATTTTTGTGTGTTAAATTTTGAAACAAAGACAGTTTATGTGAAGTTAAACACAAAGCTACACAATGGGCTATCTGTGCTCTGTTCACCATGGGTATCGAAACCCGGGTTCTAGCGTTGTAAGTTCGCAGACATACCGCTGTTCCACTGGGGGGGAGGCAAACAAAGTAAGATCAAACGAACAGAATCTATTATGAAATACAAATATAAATCAGTAATATGAGTAAAATAGTTTCAAATAAATAATGTTGAATCCAGAGTGTACTGATTATTTATATTACTTCTATTCATTGTTTGGATTTTTTTTTATTTAACAATTACGTCATAATAATACTAACGATATATGTGTTTTTACAAATATTTCTTTACTTGCCATATTCGTAAAACAATTATAATCAGTCTTATTGTGAGGTAATATCAAACAAACTATCGATCAATAAACCCCACTTGCTTGCGTAACGGCTGGGGCCTCGATCTCAACCATAAGATGAGGAGGAACATTAAAAAAAAAGTACTGCGTGACGTCATTAACTATAAAAAATAAAATTGCTCAGTGACATGCATAAGGAGACATTTCATATTTACAGTGATGTTTGATTGCCTTTTATTGTTTGCAAAAATACAATCATATAATTAGAATATATGGTAAAGAAGTCTTTAAGGTGGTGGACAGATACATATAATGTAACCACTGCTAAAAGTACAGGGGTCTTGTCCCCCCAAAGATCAACCCGTTTGTGTAACGCGTTATATACCATAATATTGCACAATTATATTTAAATGCCTTAAGACTAACCAGAACTTGGGGCCAGAATGCACAAGTATGCCATATCAGCCGAAATACGTACATTAATTATATAAGAAAACGGATATTCAGACAGATGAAAATATATTTCTTACAAACTCATATGATAGAAAGGAACGCTTTATTTAATGAATACACAGATATTCTGTCGAATATTTTGTTTATATTTTTTTCAGTATTTTGTACTGCTTTTGCAACCTTCCCTAACCACACGGTATTTATTTATTTATAAAATGTTAATGAACTTATTAAACCTACCGTAATATGACAGCAACCTAACGAAAAACTACAAATTAACAGTTTAATGAAAAGACAACATCAATTTTGAAAAAACTAAATTTCAGATTTTTGATTGGATTTTAGAAGCAAATTCAAAGTATCTTATATAAGATTTAAATAAGCACACAATACCAGATTTACACAATCCACAAAAATCCGAACAGGTGAAGTTAACACTACCGAACCACACACATAAGACATTGACACCGTCAAAGTGCAGGAAAGATCAAGGTCAATGATCTTTCCCTTTTCCCGTTGAAACAGCCCATTACGAATTAATACCAAACGACGCCATACCCCCATCTGTTGTTTGCCCACCGTTATCTTTCCTGTTCCAGACCTCGTGGTGCCGGGGAATAAACGTTCATAATGAGCTAAGCATGATAAATAAATATTGTAGTTTGGTAAGGACAATACCAATGTCTACATACTGTACCATGTTCTCATAGACCAGTGTATTTCGTTAGCAGGGGAAGTCCTCTAGTCGTTACTAGTTTGTTAGGACTACCTCACATGCAATATACTTGTCACAGGAAAGAATTTGGGATATAAAGCTTAGTTGCTAACAGCTTCCCCTGTACAAACTATACAGTTTAGTTAACGGGAGATCCTCTATCAAAACTTAAACATGAACCGATTTATATAAATTTGGGATTCTAATTATTTAATGAATTCCTTAAAATAATTAATTATATATCTAATTATAAACAAGTGGTAAAAATACATACTGCTTGCAATTGACACAAACCAATATACAAAATAAAAACCTTGTATTTTTGAGCTTTGTATACCGGTATATATGAAGCTATATCTACCTCTGAAGTTAATAAATTATATCATTATATAAAATTATAAATGAAATTACATTACACACTAACATTTTCTTCTATACAATAATGATTGAAATACTTAAGAAAGGTCAAATTAATTGTCAAAATGCTCACTAGGAGATTTGTCTGCGGACTTACAACGCTAGAAAGCGGGTTTCGATTCCCATGGTGGGCAGAGCACGGATAGCCCATTGTGTAGCTTTGTGCTTAACTACAAACAAACAAAGAAACAATTTTTTTGTCTAAAGGCATTTGAAAAAATACATATCACACACACACCTATCTATCTACAGATAGACAGAGAGAAGTAGTTTACATTCCATATTTTATAATACTTGGATGAATTGTAACTATTTATAACGATGTTCTATTTGCTTCACAAGTACCGAGTTGTCTGTATGAAGTTTAATAAATAAATATATATATATACATGTGATGTTAAGTTTGTTTGAGACTTACTTGTGTCTGTAGTCTCCTGGAGTGAATACTGCTTCCCAGGATACATTGAAACCACTTCGTGGTGCTCATGCTGTACACTCGTCTCTCGGGCTCCGTGGGGAAGAAGCATCTTTTCTGGGGATATTGGTAAATGATTCAAGCTGTCGTGAGTCAGGCTATTACAATGAAGGCTCTTACTGCGCATACTCCGGGAGGTGGGTGATCGTGATCCTTGACCGTCATGAGTTCCACCATACGATGTTATAGAACCAGTGATGCTTGGTAGACGAATGTCCAAGTGAGATCCCTTTTCGGTTACAATCTGCAAATAATAAGTTAAAAAAACTATTATATTTTCGAAGGAAAACAATAAGTAAAGTTGAGCGAAATGTCAAAACTAAATATTAATAATTTGAGAAGCATTAAAGTAGAAAACGCAGGCCTATAAAGTAAGTTGTTAGAAATAATTTTAAATTACAATATAAATGAGAAAAGGGCCTCAGATCACTAACTTTGAAGGCCAGCGATTCAGTTTCACATTTTCTAAATCTAGGACACGGTTAAGTCTTTCATTAATTTGTCATTTTTTGCTCTGAATGTTTTCTTTTTCTCACCCAAACGTGATCTAATAACCTCAACAAATTGTGTACCAAACTACGTGTATAGCCATCAAAATGTCACCGAGAAAAAGTTTTTTTTTTACATAGCACATCACATCATAATTGAAATATCGTCTAGGGATCAGACTGAAATAATTATTCATCAAAAAATAAAAATAAATACACGTTACCGTTATTTGTTGAAACAATAATTTTATTTTCAGTGAAGTACCATGATTTAAAAAATTACTACTTTATTAATAACAGTTTAATAGGATGATGTTTTTTTTTTGTAAAATAATATTTCAGCTCAAGCTCTTAATGAAAAAATACACATTTCTATTTTTTTTTATCAAGAGTTATAAAATAATTCAATTTTGTATATTTTAAGTGGAAAAATATCAATTTACCAGCCTCACCCAACATCTGACGGATAATAGTTCCTTCCATAAATGAATACAGCCAAAGCGGGAAATTTTACAGAGCTGCTTTCTTATTTTAGTTCTACTGATGGTGGAAATATCTGAACGTTCACTCTAGCAAATGTTAGGTTCCCGAACAATTCACAAGTCCATTGTTTTATTTGACGACTATTTTCAGAATGGCCATGCCAATGTTACGCCAAATAGTTCAAGAGCTGTGGAAAATTACGCGAACGTCTGGCATCTTCCCGAGATGCTAGCGGTTCAAATGTGTCAAGAAGTATTGGTAGGAATGCCGTATGTATTTCTGTGTTGCTATCAGCTCAGACTCTAGAACTTTTATCTTCACCAAGAACTAAAAACAGGCGCATTTTAATTTTGTATTTTACTGAATCACTTAGCTCGGGAACCTCGTATTTTCATGTCTGATGCCTAAAAATACTATATTTAAACTTATTTATTAATGCTGTTACTGATGCTATCAATGTATCTTTTTAAGAGATTGTATAAGAACATTTTTTAAAACGCTTTTGGAAAAAACAAACAAACTATACGTACGTGTATACAGTGCATACAACAGAAAACAAGTACTTTTGTTGAGGGGTGACATATGACACGTGTTTATCTACCAAACGTTTAAATGAAAAATTTTACCTTTTCATTCATAGCATACAGCTTACTAGTGATATCACGCGCTATCAGCACCGAGAGGACGTTGGCTAGGTGAGTCTCCTTGATTAACAGATATTCAAGACTGTGACGTTGCCAGAAAATGTACCGACATGGGGTTGCTGCTATGATAGACACCTGCAAAATATAACCCGCAGGTTTTTAACTACATGAATCATAACGATAACGTTTATTATTCAGACAATAACAAAGTGGCCATAAAAAAAAGTTATATACATGTGTTACACAAAGTGTAGTCTTTTTTTTTACGTCAAAACATTTGCATAGATGCAAGAAAAAAAAAGGTAATTATGGTCTTCAAATTAAGATAACTTTGAAATAACTTATACTTTAGAAGGTTTAAACTACGCAGGAAAAAAAAACATTATTGTTACATAAAGGTTATGGGGCAGTTATAATAAAAAAATGCCTCCCAAGTATGAGCTACATGTTATTCTTAACGTATTTTGTATTTAAAATACTAGAAATAAAATACAATACTAAGTATAAATTTCCAAGTTTACTTTTAGTGTAGATGTGATAAAATAAGCCCCACACACACTCAACCGAACAATATTTGTATTTATTATGTAGCGTCGTTGACAGTGTTAGGATATTATTGCGTTGTACAATGTGTATCACGTGTTTGAAAAGTACAGGACGTAATTTTTTTCTGTATAGGGTATTTCTGTTTTCTGTACTGTGTAAACACACGTGGGACATCAGTAATTCAATTACACAGTCTCAATATACCTTGTTTTCTAGCTGTTCTGAATGTGTTTTAAACGTTTAAGACCTTTGGCCTAACTATTTAATTTTGCATCTACAGCCTAATCTTAAATGCTGTCATACGGTGTTTCTATCAAACGTCTTTTATCAGCCATTGACCTATACAGGTATTTGAAACAACAGACAAGCAAATTTTGTTTACAAAACCTCTATAAACGTTTTGTCTTGGAAAATTTTAATTACGGTTGTTTGTTATCTGTTTGTGGACATAGAACGCTAGAAACTGGGTTTCGATACCCGTGGTGGACAGAGCACAGGTAGCCCATTGTGTAGCTTTGTGCTTAACGTCAAACAAAAACAAAACTTTAAAATGCAACTTCTTTAATCTTAACTGCCAAAAAACAACAAAAAAACAGTTATCTGTTCTGTTGGTTTTCTAGTTAGCAGCATTCTCTTTGTTACACGGATTATATTAATTCTCAGGATATATTTCCAGAGTTATCCGTATTCTATATATCCAGTATTATCTGAATTTTATTGGTTCTGATGTAACCCGAATTCTATACATTTCAGAGTTAATTTAATTTTTTGTTTTTGATTTTCTCGAAACTATACTTTTTTCTTTTCTTCTGATTTATGCGTGGAATGTTCTAGTCGTTTTGTTCTGAGTTATGCGTAGAATGTTCTAATCGTTTTGTTCTGAGTTATCCGTGGAATGTTCTAGTCGTTTTGTTCTGAGTTATCCGTGGAATGTTCTAGTCGTTTTGTTCTGAGTTATCCGTGGAATGTTCTAGTCGTTTTGTTCTGAGTTATGCGTGGAATGTTCTAATCGTTTTGTTCTGAGTTATGCGTGGAATGTTCTATTCGTGAAGCTTTAAGGAATTTGAATGAATCTGATCCAGTCTGTTAGGTTTTCTGATTTGGTGGAATTCATTTGATTCATGGTTACCTGAAATATTGTTTTTCGAGGCTCACGTGTAACTTCAAAGCAATTTTTTTCCAGGTATTCTATTCAAACTATTATGCTCGATGTTTTATTTTGTGTAATTCGCGATGTGGGAAGACGATGCTAATAAATGAAACAACAACAACAAAAACTCTGTTAATCGAACTTCATCACCAATACATATTTTATTCGGTGAAGTTGTCAGAAACATGTTAAACGTAAACACTTTTTCCATAATTTTATTTAACATTAAAATGTCGATTCCATTAAGATCACTTAATGTTTTCCAGATTCACGAGGGATGGATGAATCTTTATTTTGGTCAGATAACGTTTAGATAAAACGTTCCAATTTTATGCTTTACACAATCAAAGGAGAACTTCTCTCTTTTATGTTCTACAGAACCTTTATACCCAAGGAAGCTCAGTTCACGATGTCAAACTTCCACAGAGATATTTGATATCTTGCATTTGATCTTGACCTGAAGTTTTTGTGGGAAACTACTTTTAGTAGTTATCGTAAGTGCACAGACAGACAAATATTACATCACTGCTGTTAGACGAAAGTAAGAACTCATTAGTTGCATACAGCAATCAATGTATGATATCTGTGTAAATGAATTTATGGAACTCATAGATGATGGTTTATCACACTCTTCTAACAGAAGCAATCGAATGTTAAAGGAAAGAGTACAACACTGGATTTAACCGGAAATGATTACTTATATTCTGTATTAAACACTCAGTCCTTTTGTTTTAGCGCTTAAGATATATAGACTAGAATCAATCATCTGTAAGTGTTCAAGAATAATTTTTAGTTTACAAGTCGGTAACAACTGTTTTTAGAATATTTCGGACCTCCTGAATTCCAATTTGCTGTTACCAAGCTGTATTTTAACTCTTTGAGTTTTTGACGAATAATGCTATTGTACTACAGCTTGGTAACAAGTATATTTGGATTCAACACATCAAAATTGTCGTGGGATGACATGGTACCAACTTTTAAAGTTGTTTGTACTGACAATCCGACTAGCCTAATAGTTACAACGCTGAATCAGACGTTGTTCTTGAGGTAACGAGTATTGATCGGTGCAACGCGACACTCCACTTACAGGGTGTAGGATTCTGCTAAAATTTTTGATTTGGATGAGAAAGAACAATGACTGGTTTTAAAAGCAGATACACTTACATATTTTTATGTGTAAAGTTTAGTGGGTGGAGAATTTTTTATATAATTCTTCTATATTTTTCCAATTATAATTTGATCTTTCTTCTCGGTTATGATAAACGCATACTCTTGCGGTTATCTTATTTACAAAGGCAGTGAATAACAATATTTCACCATTCGATATTTTGATTTGCTTTAAGAAATACTAAATTTCTTAGATTCTCTGCAAACGTTTGCTATAAAAGTTCTCACTCCCTTCCTGCAAAAAGAAAACGTTTATCGTACTCCCCACCCCCCTCACCCCGTTGGCTTTTTGGGCTCATAACGCTATAAATCAAGTTTTGATACTCACTATGGACAGACAGTACATTGCATATAACAAACACACACAAAAGGTTTTTGTTTTCGAAGCGTGATTACAATCAATTATAATTGTCACAAGACAATAGTGGTAAGTTTTTGTATTTTTTAAACACTATATTCAACAAACAAACAAAACAAAAAACCAATAAGCATAATACTGTTGTTTTACGACAAATATAATTGATTATAATTACACCCCCTCCCCCAGTGGTACAGCAGCAAATCTGCGGACTTAAAACGTTATAAATCGGATTTCGATACCTGTGGTAGGCACAGAACGGATAGCCCATCGCGTATCTATGTGCTGAGCTATATACAAACAAACAGCAAAAGAGATTCCAACCATAACAAATGTTCATACTAATACTTTTCACACCAAAACATTTAAGCGCATTCATATAAACAATACTAATACTCATAAGTAAATATTAAGCATAAATCTGTGCTACACCCACTGCTAGAGACTCCCGGTGGGACAGCGGTAAGGCTTCGTAGGACTTACAATGTTAAAATCAGGAGGTCGATTTCCCTTGAGTGAACACAGCAGATAGCCCGATGTGAGTATCGAAACTATATTTTTATGTTTACTATTTTAAACGTTGATAAAAGGATTCATCAGTTAAAAAAACAAGACAAAGTAAACAATACTTGTAACCTACCTTAAACTTGTCTTCAATCCCAGCTTTGCTGGACTCGAATTCGGGAGAGTCCAAAAATTGCTTCGGAAAAATATGATGAAGAAAATGGTGGTCTGTCATTACGTTCACTCTAATTTGGAAGTGAAATGAATAGTTTATTTTTCTCTAAAAAATGTCAGTGCAACGTTAATAACGGAGTTTAAACATAATGTATCTTGATTAGATTTAATTACTAACGTATGACAATCTGTACTCAACATTTGTGATGGAGATATACTCCAATACACTAATTAAATAGAAAGTAAACGGACATAGTTTAAATACTCAGGTAACACACAACTAGAAATTATAAGTTGCGATGACAAATAATAATATTCGGTTTCAGGTTTCGTTTATTTAGAACAACTACCTCACCTAATAAAGTCAAGCAAAGAAGATATTTGCACTGATTTTCTGGGAATCACGGGCTGGGTAAATTTTTCTTATGAAACCTGGGATTACATTAAGTCTGATTCCAGCAGCTACTTTAACTTAAGGGTTTATCTTGTAATCCAATTCTTAATCCATAGTTTTCTAAATTTAATTTAAGGATTAGTTAAGGTGAACAGAAGTCCCGGTTTTATGATAAAGACATCAAACTGTTAGTCACATCGAATCACGAATGTAACAGGACTACTTGACTTGCTCATTGTTGTAAAACGTACTCTCTTGAATCACGAATGTAACAGGCCTACTTGACTTGCTCATTGTTGTAAAACGTACTCTCTTGAATCACGAATGTAATAGGCCTACTTGACTTGCTCATTGTTGTAAAACGTACTCTCTTGAATCACGAATGTAACAGGCCTACTTGACTTGCTCATTGTTGTAAAACGTACTCTCTTGAATCACGAATGTAACAGGCCTACTTGACTTTCTCATTGTTGTAAAACGTACTCTCCTGAATCACGCAAGTAATAGGCCTACTTGACTTGCTCATTGTTGTAAAACGTACTCTCTTGAATCACGCATGTAATAGGCCTACTTGACTTGCTCATTGTTGTAAAACGTACTCTCCTGAATCACGCATGTAATAGGCCTACTTGACTTGCTCATTGTTGTAAAACGTACTCTCTTGCCGCCAAACTCTCTCAAAAGTTCTGTCTGTGCGTGGTGAGAAACCCAGGTCTGCGTTGGATTTTTAGTTAGTAGTATTGTAGTAGACCTATAGGAGTTAGTGAATGAGTGGTGGATGGTTAAACATCAAGGGCTGTTCACTAAGATATTTTTATTATTGAAAATGTTCAACCTATCACAGTGTCAAAACGTTGAAAAGAAAGCGTGTTCTTCTGATACTTTGAAAGCAGGCTTTCCATTTTAAAAGACAGATCGGACTTTATGGATCACACTGCCAAGAAAAAGGACAAGAACCATTTTGAAATTATGGGTAAGGGCTGGGCTTTCCCGGTTTCGAAATCTGGTCATCCTAAAATTAGTGAAAGCGGTTATTAAATTTTAATGAAACTTTGTAAAGGAATTTTATATATCATGTGCAATTTTTGATAGTAAATAAACAGCTGTTAAATGTTTTAGTTTTTACATAGTATATTTAGCCCATATGGAAATTAAAAGACTCGTGAAAACATTCAGTAACTGTATTTATTAAAAATCCATTAAAAAAAACAGATTGAATTACAATGTTTGTTAAAAAAATATTAGTTGGAATTTTCTATCCAAACGATAAATTACGCACTTGTGGGCTACTTGAAACGGCCAGGTCAGATATAAATACAGTCGTTCCTAATTTTGAACTATTGACCAGACAGACGACAGACGGGGTTGCTAATATTTATTTCAAAAATACGGAACTGTTAACTTAGCATCTGATCCTACTTTTCTTCCCAATATTATAATTATCATTATTATCACCCTAATAATAATAATATGCAGTACTCACCTACATTCGCCAAGGGCATTTTTTTGCCGCCTTTTTTTGCAACATTCGTCAATTCCTGGTCAGTTTCGCCTCCATGCCCAATAGCGAATTCACGCCAGTACAAAAGGCTTTACCAATATTGGAACTGACAGGTTTCTACCCAATTGTATCTTTCTTTATATTGACTTTCATATTTACACAATCTCTTCATATTTTTTTTCTCTTCTGTTTACGTCCGTGAGGAATGTCTGGTATTCCCGCTACTTCCCTCACTCTACCTAATCTTTTCCCGTGAGGAATGTCTGGTATTCCCGCTACTTCCCTCACTCTACCTTACGTTTTCCCGTGAGGAATGTCTGGTATTCTCGCTACTTCCCTCACTCTACCTAATGTTTACGTCCGTGAGGAATGTCTGGTATTCCCGCTACTTCCCTCACTCTACCTAATGTTTTCCCGTGAGGAATGTCTGGTATTCCCGCTACTTCCCTCACTCTACCTAATGTTTTCCCGTGAGGAATGTCTGGTATCCCCGCTACTTCCCTCACTCTACCTAACGTTTTCCTAACCACGTGTAAAAGCGTGCTGCAGCTAATTTTAGCTGCTAATAATATGATTTTCAAATATTAGTTCTCTAGCTTCCGCTAAATGCATTGATTTAGCAAATCATGGGACATATTTTGCATTATTACATTGTCTAAGTTTCCAAACCTTATATCATTGGAAGGTAAGGTAATAATAAAACTGGCTTTGCAAAATGATAAATATTTTTAATATGTTGAAATAATGATAAAAGGCGTCGCGCACTGATTTAGTACGAGACAGGCAATTTTCTCTTTAAATAAAAGACGTCCCTTGTAATACGGGATTGTTGGCAAATCCAACTCCCACAGCCATAAGGACTTTTTACTGCTCTTCAAATCGAACAATGAGATACAGTTTGCTTATATTACCCGTCCTCGGCTGAATGTGCGCAATGTGTTCAGTGATATCAAGTCTCGAACCCCAGATCTTTACTAAACAAGCACAGTCCATTGATAAACAAGAATCTTCAGTCATGACAGTCGATGGCTAGCACTTGATGACATAACCTTCCGAAGCTACTGGCTTGACGACGAAACCAGATCGTCTCTATAACGTTTTGGAAAATATCAAAAACTGAAAATGCGAAATATAACGGATAAATAACGTGCGGAAATATAAAAGTAACACGATTTTGAATTTCGAAGATCGAAACTTGAATTTTTAAAAGAAATTTCATATTGGAAAGTCTGCAAGATTAAAACCAATTTAAGATTACGGTACTATTATGTATGTTTGTTTGTTTTGAATTTCGCGCAAAGCTACACGAGGGCTATCTGCGCTAGCCGTCCCTAATTTAGCAGTGTAAGACTAGAGGGAAGGCAGCTAGTCATTACCACCCACCGCCAACTCTTGGGCCACTCTTTTACCAACGAACAGTGGGATTGACCGTCACATTATGACGCCCCCACGGCTGAAAGGGCGAGCATGTTTGGTGTGACGGGGATTCGAACCCGCGACCCTCAGATTGCGAGTCGAGCGCCCTAACAACCTGGCCATGCCGGACCGCTATTATGTACAACATGCTTTAAGAAGGATGAAACCGCCCGGGCTCTTGGACCCCAATATGGTCAGTAATTTTCAAATCGATGGCCGATGGTCCTAGAAAGCTTATAAACTTTGAAAATAAAAATGGTCATGTATTAATATGAATTGTTACGAATGGCGAAAAGTCGTTTTGAGATTGCCATCACTGATCATACTATTACTGTCTCAGTTGCTTTATTATTTGGTTGTTAAAATGAAGTTAAAATTGTGTTGTGTTATTATATTTAAGAAATGATAAATAATATTGTTACGTCTCCGTTCGTTAATTGATTTTCCGTAAATTCG